TGACTTTGTCTGGTCTACGCCAAATACGCTCTCTGATTTCCTCTTGGAAGGGGGCTTTGATTCGAACGTTGTCCCAAGGTTTCTCTGTCTTGGGAAGTCTTCCCGCTGATTGTCTGACTACGGATTCAAGAGTTTTCTGAGATTCCTTGTAGTTCTCCCCTTCCTTTCGTTCATCGTCCTCGAGCATGATGATATCTTCAGCACATTTGTTGATTAGCTCTCGTAGAAACCAGTTTCTCTGCATATCTTCGCACTCTTCATCCTGCATTATTTGATCCATCCCTGTCCACTGTCTGGGCCATTTGTCATGAATAATAATATCTTCAAGCTGATCATGCATTTCATCTGACGACAGAATGGTAGTGGCAGGTTGACCTTTTGGAGACGGAGGTCTTCTAATCGAAACACCGGGTTCACTAGGATTGCCCGTTGTCATCAGCTTTGAACTAGGTTCTAACTGATGGCCTGATGTAAAAGATGTACCAGTGGTAGCATCATCAGGACTTCCATCCCCTCCTCGGTTGGTATCTCTAGGGGATACGCCTCGGGATGTTGAGTCTAGCTCGACCAGGCTAGATATTTTGGCTACGGGTGGTGGCTGTTGGTTTGTAGAGGTTTCGGGTTGGATGGGCTGTGGAGTTTGGCGAGGTAAAGCAGTTTGCTCAAGTGATCGTGGGCGCTTGTTCTCCCCCTCATGAGGATCCGAATCATCGGGGTCCTCATGGGAACGTTTGCGACCACGAGGACTCTCCTTGCATTTGCTCTTGGTTTCGGGGGAAGAAAGGAGGGCTTCGAGAATGGCTTGCTGGTGGAGGGTAAGTTTGGCTTCAGGGATGTTTAGAAGGTTGTCCAGCAAAGCCAATGCAAGGGTTTCGAAGGGTAGTGAGGAGAGATCGATGGAGGGTGTGGTCGGGCGTGGGGAGAATACTAGTTCTGTATCATGGGTTCCCCGAGAGTGTGAAGGAACGGGTATTTGGTTAATGGATTGGTGAGATAGAGGGGTGGAGGATACGGGTTGTGTATGGGAAATGAAGGGTTCGGGTGAAGGTTGGGGTGGGGGTTGTTAAGACCGAACCGCTTGGGTGGTCCTAAATTCCTGTGCTAGAGCGGTCATTGCATCTTGCACCCATGGTTTAATGGTGGAATCTAGGAAGCGATTTAGTATAACGTTGACGTCTTCAAAGGTTGGGTGACCAGTTACGGGGGTTGTAACTGTTGTCACAGCATCAGTGAAGATAGCTGATGTGTGGCCTGTGTGCAATGATGGAATCATTGAGGGTGTAGCAGGGCTTCCAACCATCATAGCTTGCGCTCTGGTTGAGGGCGTAACGATTCTAAAAAAGGCTAAGAGAGAAAGAGGCGAGATAGAGAGTAGGGTTTCCGCTGCTCTCATTCTCCAAGGAGAGCAGCGGGGTTTTATACGGTATACCAGATGCGTTTAATCTTCGACGTATCTTTCTATCTGCTTCTTTATACCTGTTATGATTGTTGTATTTTAAGATTTGGGTTTATCAATAGGTATCAGAGCCGAGGCGTGAAACAGGTTGGATCTATCTGCGATTTTTTGGATCTAACGAAGAACTGCTCTGTTTTTTCTTCTGTTTTTCTATATGTAGAGATTTGCTCCCGTAATCTTGTTTGTGAATGAAATTTTGTAAAAATCATACTGTTGGACTCGCCTTTCAAAACCGATCCAGCAGCATACCTCTTTTTTCGTTTTCTGCAATTTTTATATTTCAAAGATCTCTACATTGAGATCTCGAAATCCTTATTTTCCACTGCTGCAGAAACGTTTTTGGCTTGAAACTGATACAGGAGAATCTCGACCTTCAGGGCTTTTCAGAACAGGTTTCATATTTTCAAAAATCGATGTTTTCATTTTGCAGGATCTCGACATTTAGGGACTCGATTTCCTCTTCTCGGCTTCTTCTCGACTTTTGAGATCTCGAGATTTGGATCTCGACATCTTGATCTCGAGATTTGAATCTCGAAATCTTGATCTCGAGATTTGAATTTCGACATCTTGATCTCGAGATTTGAATCTCGAAATCAAGATCTCGAGATTTGAATCTCGAAATCAAGATCTCGAGATTTGTAATCTCGAGTTTTGACATCTCGAGTTTTGGAATTTCGAGTTTAGGAATTTCGAGTTTTGGGATTTCGACATTTGGGATCTCGATGTTTTGGATCTCGACATTCTGAAGATTTCGAGATTTTCAAAATTTCTCGATGTTTTGAATCTTTCAAAGTTTGCAGTTTCTTGGAACTCATAATTCGAATCTTGACATCCTTTGCAGTTCATCGAAGCTTTACATTATAGGATATCTGAATGATTCCGTGCTTATAAATGTTTCAGGAGTTTTCGATGTTCTGATGTTTTTCAAACAGCAAGTTTTCGAGATTATGAGGTTTTCGAAACTCCAAAGTTTTCGATGTTCAAACATTTTGAAATTCTGCAGATTTCGATATTCTCAGGTTCGTTTTGCAGGTGGATTTCGCCATTATTCTTCGAGGCAACCTCGAGATTGTAATCTCGAGATTTAAACCTCGAGATTAGGATTTCGAAGTATTGCCTTAGAATTTTGTTTAAAATCCACCTGCTCTCGATATTCAACATCGAGAACCTCATCTTCGAAGAAATTCCTCAAAAACTCAAAATTAGAGATTTTCTGCGACACCACACTGTTTTGGCCATAACGTTTGACTCGGTGATCCGATTTGAGCAAACTTTTTTTTGTTGGAAAGCTAACGAGAAGATCTAAATTAATTATCTTTCCGACAAACATTGTAAATCACCGATGTCCAGGTCAAAACTTAGGCAAATCTGTTCAAATTCTTTCATTGTCAACCCTGAGGTCAAAACTTTTCTAAACTTCAATGTAAAGGTCTGAAAATCGTAGATAATTCAATCAACCTCGCGTCAACGGTCATCTTACAACAATCAACAATCAACTGCTGAAGCCTCCCCTGACTCGTCAACATCATGTGATCATCAATATGCTGAAATTCTACATGATGAGCTCAGGGAAACCGTCATGTGTGGTACATGTTCAGATTGCTCCACACACATGGCGGGTATGACGAGCTGTGAGCAATCAATCCTTGCACATTCTGAGGGGGAGTATCAGTTTTCTCCTCCTGGCGCTTTTCACCGTCAAAGCAAGGAATCTCTCAACGGATGCAACATTTTAGGGGGAGTGTTCAATGTTATCCTTCCTGGTGCCTAACAATGACAAAGCATACCGAGTACTCCAGTTGAGGGGGAGTACAGAGAGAAAATGAAGAAAGTAATGAGAGAACATGTCCCTATGGCTTAGTAAACCCAACTAAGCCTACCCAAGGGTCAAAGCCGAGCGTAAGTACGTGAGTGAGCGAGTGAGTGAGTGAACATTATGAGCATTAGGAAGCAGAAGGCTCAAGTGAGAAGAAAAACAATTATCAATGATGAGTCTGCTACCTCAATTGCCTGCTATGAATTGAACATTTGCTCCTAGCCACTAAAATACTCTGGACTGTCCCCATAGGTTCAGGACTGAATTTATTCAGATCCTGGGTAGAAGTCGCTGCATTTTGTCCAAACGGCGCATGCACAACCCTACCCTAGACCACTCACTTGTCTCCCAACAGACAGGTGTTTAATCATAGTTCACGAGGAACCGCATTTCTCATTACTGTCTCCTTCCGAGGCAAGTAATACTGACTACAGTGGCCTCAGCCCCATGCCACTGAACTTTCATTGATCACGTCGTGTCTAGTTACCTCACTCCCAAATGTTTTGAATTTTCTAGGACACAGACGCACTTTTTGAGTCAGTTGCAGGTCTACATGACCCGCGAGAACTTCCATAGGGCTCATCTATTGCGGATGTAGACTAATGATTGGAAGGAAGTCCTGCTGTTGCAACATAAGAATCACCAACATTTTCAGGCCATTGCTAAAGAGTTTATCTCTATAGTGATGATAACGGGCGTCTTCACGACCCCGGGGGCTACATTATCTTCTTTACATTCTGCTTGTTTTTCCTGGTTTTATTTCCGCAGAATAAAAGAATAAAGGCATGACGCCCCGAATCATCGGATCGTCATGAGGGGGAGAGTGGTCCACATGTTGTTAACTGTCAAAAAATCATTCTGGGACACTACTCTCCTCCAACACTCTCTCTACTATCTCCACTATGTTCACAATTCAACTCAAATGGTCAGCTACGTTCACAATTCAACCATCATTATGTTCCGCGGTGCCACCGACAAGTTCTCCTCAAAAGCATTCATTCCAAATAGTCAAAACGACTACATTGTGGAGGAGACAGAGGTCAATTACTCGTGTCCTGAAGATGAATTCCATGGGCGTCTCCTATTCTCCAAAGAATATTCATTCTAGAGGCGTCACCGGATTTCATCCAAGCTGATCAAGAGCAACTTCTGGAAGGCAAGGACTACATGCAAAATACTGAAGGTCCCTCAACCCCCGTCATCAAAGATCAAATTGTCAAGAAGGCATCAAAGGGGAGATTGCAAGGATTTCTTCAGATAGCCTTCCTCAGAAGTCAAGTTCAAAGACAAAGGAAGTTCAATAACAACAAAGACAAAGATATCTGCGCTGCAATGCTGATTCAACACGATTGATCACCAAGGGGGAGATTGTTGGGAATATTTTATGGTGTTCAATCTAGTTAGTTATCTTTGTATTTGTGTAGTTATTAATTAAACGTGTAATACGGGCCACAAATGTGTATCAGCCTGTGGGATTCCTTGTAACCCGTAAGTTAGCTAACTTCTCCTATAAAAGGAGACTAACTTACGGGAACCCAAAACGATCAAAAGAGGCTTAGAGTTCAGAAGCGTAAAGATAGAGAGATTAGGGTTGCCGCTGCTCTCCTTCTCCGGGGAGAGCAGCGGACAGTTCATACGGTATACCAGATTCGCGTTTAATCATCGACATATCTTTTTATTTGCTTCTTTATACCTGTTATGATTGTTCGATCCTTAGTATACTGGGTCTAACAGCGACCTTGTCGGGTCCCATCCTCTCGAATCCGCATATGAAGAGAACAAAACGAACCAGGAGAAGATGAAGAGGACGGTCCTTGCCAACACTTACGGCTTCTCCTTGCCCACGAGGATGGAGTTGGAACGCTGGATCCTCTCCAGGTTTCAGAGGCCTATTGGAGCAATACCCTCTTCCATGTTGGGTTTAGAAGCCATGACAGGAGCTGTGGAAGACTTCGGTTTTGAGGACTACCTGAATGATCCAAAGGAATCTGAGAGTGTTCGTCCATCTAACCTGCATCATGGCATGGAAGTGAGGCTCGGGTTATCCAAAGGACCGGTGTGCCCTAATTTCGTCTGAATCATTTGGCTGTGGTTAATGAGAAAATTATACAAATAAGACTTAAACATATTTACTTTCCAAAATTAGGAGTAGAAGCTTGCGTAGGACATATGTACATATGTTTTGACTATTATACCCTTCATTTAAAATCAATTGCTTGACTCAGAGAAAAATGACAGCGATGAATTCTTCTTTGGAGTGGACTTGACGGAGAGCATCAACGAGCTTCCAAATCAATCTGCTCCATCTACTCCTTCCCTTGGTGGCGGCAACGAGGAATCCCCAAGTAGTCTCCCGAATAGTATGTGTTAGTCCCTGTTTCTGTAACAGCAATGAATAACAATCTAACAATGAAGATTAAACATAAGGATGAACACAGAATGAATCAACGTAAAACCTTCTTTGATAGACCGTGAACTCGTACAACACAAAAGTATGCGCGTAAGGCTATGAAGAATAAGTACGACGTTAACCTATTCCTAAACCCTCGGCTCCCTTTTTATAGGCGATGTTTAGGTTAGGCGTACAAGGCTTTTAGCCTGTTTATATGGGCCTAACACTTGGCCCGATTGCTATCTAATTCATGCACTAATTAAATACAAGGATTAAATATAAAGCTAATCTATGACCAACTTGATTCACAATTAAATATCTCCAACAATCTCCCCCTTTGTGATCAAATGTCATTCTCTTATTGCTTCTGAGACTTGAAGTAGTGCTTCCTCATACCAAGTGCATGTTCATATTGCCTCAGCGTATTTCTCTTTTTGAGGCGATCGTCAATGGCCTTTAAAATTGTCTCTACTGTAGAGTGTTCCTTTTGAACATAAGACGATGCCTCTTGAAGATTTTCCTCTAGCTCTGCCTTCATCTTCAGAATCTGTTCTTTGATTATCTTCAGTGTTCCGTCACAGTACTTCTCAATTTCACTGACTACCATCAGACATTTTTCGTTCTTGTGGTTCAGATAGGTGACTGCTGGCGGTGTGAAGAAGATGTGGTAGGCTGGGAAGTCTTCAAGTTCTGGACCATACAGTCTTGGCTTTGTCAGATTTGGCTTTTTCAGATTGCACTCAATAGCCATCTGTAGGTCATGTGAAGAGTGTACTCGGATCTGTCTAAGCATGAATCTCTTGATAGCTGCGAGGCCTTCGCTGTATATTATGCTCTGCCTGACTGGAAGGTATCTGTAGGCCATGAACATTTGATAGATGTCGTCCGGTTTCAGCATGATGAAGTCGTTCTCTTGGCAAGTAAATTCGCTCCCGTCAGTGCGTTGAAGTCTGTAAGTGTAGAATGTTACTCCATGATAATCTTCAGCCTTCACTTGTAGAATTTGATGAATCGGGAGAATATTCGACTTCAGATCTTGTTCCATCAGTTCTCTCTGTGTACCGGTTGACCTTTGTAGCAGCATATGCAGATGACCTCCAGCCTGCTTTCCTTTTAAATGAGTAAGGCCTCTTAGCTTCAGTTCATTCAGCGGCTTGACTCTGTCTGGTCTACGCCAGATATGCTCTCTGATTTCTTCTTGGAAGGGGGCTTTGATGCGAACGTTATCCCAAGGTTTCTCTGTCTTGGGAAGTCTTCCCGCTGATTGTCTTACGACCGATTCAAGAGTTTTCTGGGATTCTTTGTAATTCTCCCCTTCCTTGCGTTCATCGTCCTCGAGCCTTATGATATCTTCAGAGCATCTGTTAATTAACTCTCGTAGCCACCAATTTCTTTGCATGTCTTCTTGTTCGGCCTCATTCCGAAGATCATCCCATTCTGTCCATTGTCTCGGCCATTTGTCATATATCACCGCCTCCTCCAGTGCATCATGGATGTCTTTGCCTGGGGAGATGTATGGAACTCTTTGTTGCCTTTGAGGCGGTGATTGTTCCTGAGTAGCACTACCGGGTTCACTTGGATTGCCCGTTGACATCAGCTTAGAACTAGGTTCCAACTGATGGCCTGATGCAGAAGATGTACCAGTGGTAACATCGTCAGGACTTCCATCCCCTCCTCGGTTGGTATCTCTTGGAGATACGCCTCGGGATGTTATTTCTAGCTCGACCATGCTAGATAAGTTGGCTGTGGGTGGTGGCTGTTGGTTTGTCGAGGTTTCGGGTTGAATGGGCTGTGGAGTTTGGCTTGGTAGGGCAGTTTGCTCAAGTGATCGAGGTCGCTTGTTCTCCCCCTCATGAGGATCCGAATCATCGGGGTCCTCATGGGAACGTTTGCGACCACGAGAACTCTCCTTGCAAGTGCTCTGATACCAGTATGGCTTGCTGATGAAGAGTAAGCTTGTCTTCAGGGGTGTTTAGGAGGTTGTTCAGCAAAGTCGACGCTAGAGTGTCGAAGGATAGTGAGGAGAGATCGATGGAGGGTGTGGTCGGGTGTGGGGAGAATACTGGTTCTGTATCCTGGGTTCCCCGAGAAAGAGAAGGAATGGGAATTTGGTTTATGGATTGGTGGGATAGAGGGGTGGAGGATACGGGTTGTGTATGGGAGATGAACGGTTCAAGTGAAGGTTGGGGTGGGGTTTGTTCAGACCGAACCGCTTGGGTTGTCCTAAATTCCTGTGCTAGAGCGGTCATTGCATCTTGCACCCATGGTTTAATGGTGGAATCTAGGAAGCGATTGAGTAGAACGTTTACGTCTTCAAAGGTAGGGTGACCAGTTACGGGGGTTGTAACTGTTGACACAGCATCAGTGAAGATTGCTGATGTGTGGCCTTCATTTAATGATGGAATCATTATGGGCGTAGCAGGGCTTCCAACCGTCATAGCTTGCGCTCTGGTTGTTGTGTTCAGGGTGTGTGCACCTGTATGTGCAGTGAATAGTGTAGGTGTCCTAGAAAATGAAGAAAATGTGGGGAATGTGACACCTAGACTCGATGTGTGAGAAGAAGGGGTTTTGACCTCGGGAGATAGGTCAATTGTACGCTCAACTGATTCAGAAGGAACCAGTGAGGGGGTGGAGTCACGTTCTTTTGAAACAATAGCCTGTTGAGAGGCTATCGAGTAGCTGGGAGAGGGCTGTGCTTGCGCAGTTGAGCCAGATGCTGCGACTTCTACCCGGGAACCGAAAAGATCGGCTCCTGTGCTTAAGGATTCAACTCGGCTTATCTGGATAAAGGTATCGCAGCCCGCAAAGATATGCTCGTCTGCCTTATCAATTAGACTCTTTCTGGCTCGGGGCTGGGTCATACACGACTGTATGGCAGCCTTGTCATTCTTGACCTTTTCCCTTTTCTCCCGGATGACGACTTCCTCAGAATTCTTAATTGAATGAGCCGCCTCGTCATAATCGTCCTTGGAGCAATTTGTCTCGTTGGGATCGGCTCTCGGTTTAGCTTTTTCTTTGATTGTGAAAACTTGAGGTCTGCCAGCGATTATTGGTGCTGCGTCTTCAGCAGTAATTCTTTTCTTCTTCGGAGATTCGACTGGCAGCTTTTCTTTTCTGATCAGGGCATATGTGAGCTCCACGTCATCACTGTCATTGTCATCGTCGTCATCATCCGAGCCAGATTCCCCGCTCTCCGTGCCCACGCTCTCGGAAGCCTCGTCGTCAGTGTTTGTTTGGGCTTCACTTGACGATTCATTGGTTGTTTCCTCAGCGTCTGTTTCGGTGCCCTCAGCCGCCTGACTCGTCTCTAGAGAGTCGTCAGACTTTCCTTCATTGGGCGAACCGGCCACTGGTTTCTGTGGCTTTTGGGCTTTCTTGGGACCCTTACCAACACTCGGCTTTGCCCCTGGGGTTGGTCCAGCTGGGTTTTGCTGAACCATAGGGACAGTTTTCTCTGTGGCTTCCTTGTATTGCTGGACTGCTGGATTTGAAGATTTGACCAGCTTGAGCAGAAATCCAGGTATCTTCAGACCAAAGGTAGGATTCTTGTCTGCTTTAAAATATTGTAGCTTCGGTGGTGTGAAGTGAGGATCCGTACTGCGTTTTGGTATGGAAGTGTGCTCTGCCATGCAGTCGTGTATGATCAGCCCGAGCCATCTTGCGTACGGAATGGTACCTGGCCTATTCTTTTTGTAACACCCCCAAATTTCCCACCCAAAACGTTGACATAATTGAAATAAAACTTTTATTTATTGATAATGAAAATCTAAAGAAAGTACAGCAGAAGTCTTAGTAAGGGGAATGGGTGTTACCGCCACATCCGGTCATCTCTCAACCGGATGCACAGGCAACTAGAACATAACAACTAATTTAATAAAAGTAAAGTGTTTGAAAAGTAAATGTTTATTTCATGACTAGTATAACTAAGGCGACTTCTAACTCGCTCTCGGGCCATGCACGCAATCATCACTCGACAAAATCATCCTCACCTGCACAAATAAAGTGCAGAAACAAAACAAGGAAAAGAAAACAAAAATTAGCTTTAGAGCTAAGTAAGTACTACCCAACCCCGTAAAATAATCATGTTTGACTAAAATAGATTTTAATATAATAATATATAAAAATACTCACACCATCGAAATTCTTTTCACTTTGATTTTTCTCAAGACTACTTCTTTACAAAAATCCTCAACTTCTCTATAAAACTTCATAATAACTCTTCTCTTTGATTTCCTCAAAAATCACTTCTTCTCTAACTTCCTAGTAATTTAGAAGGGCGGTGCTCAACCTTTCGGTAGAGCCCGGTGGACCGTGGTTACGGACGGTCACCCCGAACAAGTGCCGGTACCACAACTGCTCTGTTGGAAACGAAACGACTACCTTAAGTGTGCACACCCCCTAAAAGGGATTCCAAGCCCCCCGAGTAGTAAGTCGTAACGAGTAGTCGGGACTCAGTCTACCAACTACCCCTGAATAAGATATTTTGAATGATTAGGGATTACTACTACCATAACTTCTTCTTAAAAGGGATCATCGATCCAAATATCACTTTAAACTCAAACTGTACTTCTTAGTAGTAGCAAACCTAATCACCCTCCACATTTATCCGGATGTGGAAAACCGACACCCCGGATTACTCCCGAGATGTTCACTTGTTATGAAAATGTAAATTTTATCTTCAATAAATAATACTTCAAAAATACTTCTCAATTTCTCTAAAAAGTCTTGAAGGTATTTAAAAATATTTAATACCCCAAAAGTACTTAATTTATATTTCTCAACTACCATATATATAATATCTCTTCACATTTCTCATACACAAAATTCAACAATTCACACTTATTCACCGGAAACAATTTTAGATTGGCAGAGAAACTTACCTCAACTCCAAGTACTCTAGGAAAATCTTCTACCTTGTTCTTCAATCAATCACTTTCTATTAAAAATTCTAAAATAAATATTCTTGAATAGTAAAATTCCTCTACATAATTTCTAACGAATTATGTTCAATACATTTGATTAATAACTTCATATTATTTTATTCCATTTACAAAAGTCCAAAATTAATCATCCATTTAATATATTTCATTTATAGTCATCCAATCATACCGAATGTACAGATTTACCTCATATATAATCATTTCTTTTAGATCAATTTAATCAATTTTTATTTATTTATTATTAATCGGCCAACAACAACTAAACATATTAAGTGTTACGGAGTATAGCTACGTACGTATCGTTGTCTTCCTCGTTGGTTCCAGAATGCGGCCGGTTTCCTTCGAACTGGAGCTCTCCTCTCGTCGTCAACAGCAGCTTTCTTCGGCAGCAACGACGTTCCGTAAACTAGTTCCGACCCAACTCCATTGGCTTCTCCTCACTCCGGCAGATTCCTTTCCCTCCGTCGCACGACTTTCTCTTCTTGTGGCACTGCACGTAGCGGCAGTAGGTTACGTTGGTGATATTTGGAGATGCTCAATAGTAGCAGTCCGGCACTCCGGTGTGAACCAATCTGGCGACGCTCCTTCCGGTGGCAGCAACTCTGGCCTCTTCTTCCGGCGACGTTCGTTCTTCCCTCTGCTTCTCTCATGATGCCGGTCGTTCTTCTTCTTCTTGTGCGCCGGCGGTAAAGCAGTCTTCTTCTCATTGGGTTTTGTGGAACGACGTGGGGTGTTTTCCGTGTTTATGTATATATGTGTTATGTGTAGTGTACGTGTGATATATGGGGTGGAGTTATATGTTTGTGTGCGGCCATGGGCGGATCTATGTAGGGCCTAGGGTGGGCTCTAGCCCAGCCCAACCCAATTTTTTTTGTTAGTATAGAAAGAGATTTAATTTTCAGCCCACCTAAAAATTAAAACTCAGCCCACCCCAAGTCTACAAGGAAGTGTTCTAAGAAGCTCTAAAAGCAAAAGGCTGTCTAAACTTTGTTTAAAGCCCATAGTCATGGGAACAAATGATCCCGAGAACAAATGATCTCGATGCGTAATAGTAGAGCTTGGTGTGATTGCACCAAGAAGTGATTTATATATAAGACACTCAGGAGGGTGAACCATCCTTGCAGTCGGTGTGGGATAAATTGAGGAGCAAAACTTTACATACGGAGTATTAAACAATTGTATGTAGTTGGTGTTTGGAGCCAGCTGCAAATTATGCAATCTCATCTCACCCACTCACCCACACCATCAATGAAAGCACTTTATATTACAAGTTTACAATATTATTTTACAACATAAATTTTATGATTAATATTATATTATTATTATACTGTTATTATTATATGAATATTACTATTATTTGACCCAAGTCACCATGAGTAACTTTTTATAAGCATTAAAATTTAAACATAATTATAATCATTAAAATAACTAAGTTACTCTTTATCAACTATCCTTATTTGGTCATATACTATTTCTATTATTATTATTATTATTAAAATTATTATTATTATTATTATTAAAATTATAATAGTTTTATTAGTGCATTAGTTTTATTTAATAGTTATGTAATTCTATTTGATTATTAATTTAATTTATGCTCAAACCCGGCTTGAATAAAATAGATATATGAACTCTATTTTTTAGTGTTCAAATATATTTAAAAGATTGCAATGAAAATGTTTAAATTTTAAGATAAATAAAATTTATTTCTATAATTTACGAGTTATTGATAGACTCGAGTCCGGATCAAACCGAATACCACTATGCTCGAACTCAGCTTGAACAACTATTCGAACTCAAAATCTAGCTCGTGTTCGAGTTAAAAAAAGCTTCTTAAGCTCAGATCACTAAATTAAATTCGAAATCACGCTCGAATTCGCGTAGTTCGAAAAAAACTCAATTCGATTACGGCCCTAAGCAGCCTAAGCTAAACTTTTTGTTTGCAATAACAATTTTTTTCCGGCTAAGCCCACCCCACTCTTCATTCCTGGATCCGTCCTGTGTGCGGCGTAGAAGTTAGGTATATATATACATGCATGTCGAGTTTCACAGGCTTAGGGCTTAGGGGTTTCGTTTTTATCAGTTGGGCTTAAAACTGTTGCCTCGTTCGAAGTTTACCCTTACTACGTATACATGTAGTTATATATTGCTACCTCCGTATAATATTGAGTTTGCACATTCATCTTTGTTTTGTCTTGTGTAGGAGTATATTATTGCAAGCCCATTATTTATTAATGGTACACATTTTATCTACTCATATCTTTAAATTAAAATAGCAACTTTATTATTTATGTCATAAGTATAGTTATCACTTGTTACAAAAAAAATGTCACTTTTGTTATTGAAACATTTTTATCTAATTCACTTGATTATTACAATCTCATTTTCCTAGAATTTATCTCATTATTAAAATTATTTATTTTATTTATCCCCTTTTTTTTTAAATCAAAGTTTTATTTTTTCCGACGATTATTATCTGCTAAAATTTCGCTTTTATCATTTAAGTCATGATTTTATTTAACTAACATAATTATACTAAAAATATCCCCCTTTTTTTTGACATTTTATCTAACAACATTATCTATTTTATTTTATTTAAATTTTTGGAGTGTCACACTTTTCTTTGGCTTTGACCAGGTCCATTAGCTCTGAAAAGAAGAGCTGTGCCAAGTCATAATTTTTGTTGAAGGCGATCCCATGGAAGACTAGCAGTATTTGCTTGTTGCACTTGTCGAAGCCGGCATGCTTTGGCGACAAGCATTTATTCACCAGTCCGAATAGACTCTTCCACGGGTGATGGAGATAGGCTCCGTTGAAGTTTGACAGTTGTGGCAGCAGTGAGGTGTAGCCGAGAGATGCCACGTCTTTGAGCAGATCAGGGATGGATGGCAATGCATCATATGTGTCGTGAACTGGCAGCGCAAGTGTAGATTGCAGTGTTGATGGCGTCAGGATTACGCGCATGCCATTCAGTTTAGTCTTGATTTTGGAGCGATCCTTCGCTGATTCAGTATGCATGTGGCCCCAAAATTGTTGTAGGTATATCTCTGGCACTGGTTCGACGTTGTGAAGTGCATGCCAGAGATAGTGACCTTTCATTATGGCCGGAATGATCGGGTTCTGGCACTTGAAGACGGTGAGGTCTAGCTGGAAGTTGTTGTCCAGCACCTTGATCCACTTGCCCTTAGGGTAGATGGCGTCGTCAATCTGTGTTTGAGTGTTTCCTGCCATTTTAAACTGTAGAAGCAGGGGTCAGCACATGAAGTTCAACTTTTTGATTTGATTGAAAGAGTTTGATTTACAGTTGTCAGATAAATTTATGCAGATGGAGTTTTGAAAAAAAAATTGCTAAGTCCAAATCTCGAGATCTGAATCTCGAGAACATGATTTCGAGATCCAAATCTCGAGATCTTGATTTCGAGATTCAAATCTCGAGATCAAGATGTCGAGATGCAGATCTCGAGATCTTGATTTTGAGATTCAAATCTCGAGATCAAGATGTCGAGATGCTGATCTCGAGATCTTGATTTCGAGATTCAAATCTCGAGATCAAGATGTCGAGATGCTGATCTCGAGATCTTGATTTCGAGATTCAAATCTCGAGATCAAGATGTCGAGATACAGATCTCGAGATCTTGATTTCGAGATTCAAATCTCGAGATCAAGATGTCGAGATGTCATTCTCGAGATCTTGATTTCGAGAAGATGAACCGAAGATTTCGAAGAGATTATCCACCTGTAAAAACAAAGATATAACAAAACGATAACAAGCGATTTCGACCTACAATCTAACAAAAACCCTTTTTATTTTGATTTTGAGAAAAAACGATCGATTTGCGAGAATGATCGTTCGTTTTCGAACGATGTTGAAGATTATGATTTCGAACGAATAACTACCTTCGTAAGTAGTTGTGAATAGGAAACGGGAGATGGAGATTGCGAAAACGGTCTGAGGGGATTTCGAAAACGTTATTTCGGGAAGAAGAAGGTGAAGCGGTCAGGAGCTCTGAGATGCTAACAGTTCGTGCCTTTGCGAAAAGATTTTAGAAACATAAGAATGAAGGGTTTCACGAGGGCTTATATACGCGAGAAGATTGGGCCTCTTTAGAAATAGATGAGCCCGAAATTATGGGCTAGCACAAAATGCCATTTTTAAAAGATTTTTGAGGCCCAAACCAGAAAAAAATAGAGAGCTCCCCCTCAATCAGTGAAAATTAGCTCCCCCTCAAACAGTGAAAATTAGCTCCCCCTCAAAAAATGCAACGAACAATATGTACAAATGCAACGCACACACACTATTTTTGTTCTTTTTGATTTTTCACCCACTCAACACATGCAACGCACACACACTATTTTTGTTATTTTTCTGGTTTTCTCCCCCTCAACACATGCAACGCACACACACTATTTACAGATCACACTCACACACACTTTTTACAAGTCCCACACACACACACTTTGCAGATCAGTGGAGACAAAAAATTAAACAGGCTCGAGGTTCAACATGCCCAACTTGGAGACCAGGAACTGGAATCTTTTTTCATCCAATGCCTTAGTGAACAAGTCAGCCAGTTGAAGCTCTGAGCTTACAAAATACATATCTATATCTCCTTTCTCCACGTGATCCTTGATAAAATGATAGCGCAGATCAATGTGTTTGGTGCGGGAGTGGTGAACTGGATTGCTTGTGATGGTGATGGCGCTTTGAGAGTCACTGTAGATCGGGATGTGGCGGAATGTGTAACCGTAGTCCTGTAGCTGAGTCTTCATCCATAATATTTGTGAACAACAACTAGCAGCCGCGACGTATTCGGCCTCAGCTGTAGATGTTGACACACAGTTTTGCTTTTTGGAAGACCAGCAAACTAGCTTCTCGCCCAAGAATTGGACGGCTCCCGAAGTACTTTTGCGGTCCATCCGGCAACCAGCAAAGTCAGCATCCGAGTATCCGACTAGATCGAAGCCTGAATGCTTGGGATACCAAAGGCCTAGATTCACCGTGCCTTTGAGGTATCTTAAAATTCGTCGTACAGCTGTCAGATGGGATTCCTTCGGATTTGCTTGAAAGCGAGCACATAAGCATGTGGAGAAGACAATGTCAGGCCTGCTTGACGTGAGATATAGCAAAGATCCAATGATGGCCCTGTAGTTTGTAGCATCAACTGGCTTCCCGGAGGGGTCTGAGTCCAGTTTGTTGTTTGGGGACATGGGGGTCGTCATGGAAGATTTGCCTTCTATGTTGAATCTCTTTAGCATATCTAGAATGTATTTGGAGTGATTTATGAAAATGCCATCAGAGAGTTGTCTTACTTGCAGGCCTAAGAAGAAGTTAAGTTCGCCCATCATGCTCATCTCGAATTTGGTTTTCATCAGTTTCTCAAAGTGTTGGCACAGGCGCGGATTTGAAGAAGCAAAGATGATGTCATCAACATAGATCTGAATCAGAATGATGTCAGACTTCTGTCGCTTGATAAACAGATTAGTATCAATCTTTCCTTTTGAGAAACCTGAATCGATCAAAAATTCAGTCAAGGCATCGTACCAAGCTCTGGGTGCCTGTTTCAACCCATAGAGAGCTTTCTTGAGCTTGTAGACATGGTCTGGGAATTTTGGATCTACAAATCCTTCAGGTTGAGCTACATAGACTTCTTCTTCTAAAGTCCCATTCAGAAAAGCTGTTTTCACGTCCATCTGAAAGACGG